GTCGCTGACGGGCGGGGGCGGGGGCGGGGGGCACTTGTTACCCCGTGGGGCGGCGAAGGTCCCGCTGCCTGAGGGCCACGGGTGTCGCGCCCGAATTTGCAGCCGAACGAGGGCTTTTGGGGTCCCTCGGTGGCGGGCGGCGTAACCTCCTTTTGAGGGCTGAGTTAATGTTTCGTAGTAGTTCGAGGCCGCGTCCCTGCGTCCTGCGCAAAGGGCAGGTCGCTTCCAGGAACTTGCAAGGCTTTCTGGCCGGTTCAGGTTCAAGCGCCTGTTTGTCTTGCTTAGTTCTGTTGGGCGCCAAGGTAGGGTTTGCCTTCCCAGCCTGAAGTCTTTGCTCTCTTGCTTTACAGTATGAAAACCCCTGGACGATCCCAAATATACTCTCGATGGCAAGAATGGGTTTGGCGCCAGTTTTAGGGTATTTGATCGTTGAAGAAAACTTCCGTGTTGCACTAGGTGTCTTTGTTTTGGCCGGCATAACGGATTTGGTATGTCTACGTCAGTTTGGAAATACTTTGGGGATAGCGTGGGTTAGGGTGATCCCATTGACGTGCATTGAAATTTGGACTCCCAATATAGAATGGAAATGAATAAAACAGATCCGTTTTGATAGTTGTCGTTTTCTAGGAACACTAAACGCATCCTTTGCGACATTGTGAAGGGAGCTCGCAGGTGCCTGAAGGGGACTTGGTGCTGGTGGAGCAACGGGGGATATCAGGGTTCCCTGACCAGCCCCGGGTGGGCATTGTCCAGTCAGTGCTTATGCATCTAGTGGTCTGTTGACATGTGCAGGTGTACCTGCTGCACCCATCATGACAATAGCAGCGTGAATTTTAGAACATCAGATACCTCTTCTCTCTCTCTTTTTTTTTTTTTTTTTTTGAAATAATGAGAATTGAGTATGTTCAGAGGCTTCCAGAACCTGGAATACAGTGTGAAAAAAACCATGATAAAAATATCAGCTAACATGTATCATATTTCATCTTAGTTAAACTAGCTGTATTATATGATGTCATTCATGAAACATCTCTGTAACAGTAGCATATATAGACTATTTTTATTCTAAGTTTTCTAACAGAGAAACATTGAACTTTGTTTTTCATAGCTGGATGGATTTATTGCACGAAACTGGGCTAATCAGAAATCAGCTTTGGGAAGTGCTCTTGATCCTCTGGCTGATAAAATTCTCATCAGTGTGCTCTATGTAAGCCTAACTTGTGCAAATCTTATCCCAGGTGAGAAAATGTCAATTCCACGTACTATATAAGGTAAAGCAGCTAATTTTCTGTATAGTAATGTTTCTGTGTTTCTGGAAGGAAAACTTGTGTATCTCTTGGAACTCTTGCTTTGTCAGTTACACTTTGCTATGTGCTGCTATTAAATACTTAAAAAAACAGCCCCCCAATAGACCTCACAGAAAGCATGTGCTGCCATGTACAAAAACAACTGTTATATACTGCCATTTTCAAATGTAGCTTCTTTAAAGCAATAATAGTTAGTAGCTATATCAAAGATTTTCTCATAGACTGGATTGTTTTAAGACTTCACATTAAACCCTTTCAGAGGTTGTGTTAAAAATCTTCAGTCAGGCATAAAACCTTGTTCAGAAGTATTTGAGAGTGGTTATTTCTTCTTGCTTTATATTTTGTATTTATTCGGTTTGGTTTTTAATGATGGGCGTGATTTTTCACTAGATCCTGTTGGCTTGGTTTTTCAGTTTCACTTACTTCCATGATTATTCTGAGGGATGTAGCGCTCATTGCTGCTGTTTTTTATGTGCGATACAAAACTCTTTCTCCACCGGTAAGTGTATAGCATTAAACAAAATTGTATGAACGTGTAACCATTTTATTTTTATTAAATCTTCTGTATTTTTACAAGTATAAAAAAAATGAATAAGCCTTTTAACAAAGTTGTAACCAGGAGATTTTCATCTTGAGACTTGAGGATTGCTCAAAACTTGGGTGGATAGCCTAAGATGTAATGCTGTGCTTGTTCTTTTGCCAGATAGATATGTAAGCAGAACAGTGTTTCATAAAATTGAGTCAGAGTACTGATAACTTTTTTTCCTGTGTGTGATGTGTAATAAATCATATAAGAGTGGTAGCAGTGTGATTCTTTAGTGCTACAATTGACTTTTCTGTATCACGTGAAGAGGTATATCAAATTGAATATACTGAATTGCCTTTTTTTTTTTTCCCCTCTTTTCTTCCCCTCACAGAGAACACTCAGTAGGTATTTTAACCCCTGTTATGCTACTGCCCAATTAAAACCAACATTCATTAGCAAGGTAAGAGTAGTAACTCATTACAAAAGATAACCCTTCAGTACTTGGGGTGGTGTGTTGTAGTCTGGAGGGAGGGGGCTGTTTACTACTACTGCTGAGTGCAGTTTCAAAATAGTGCCAGCTAATTTGGAGGCAACTTAAATTCTGAAAGATTTTCAACTATACTGTCAGAGCACATGCTAATTTCGAGTGTGTAAGATGCTTCATTAAAAGAGGTTTCTAAATAAATTTTTTGTATACAGACTAAGACTTAAACCAGTAATAAAAGTGTATACTGGTATTCCTTGCATAGTACCTGTCTTCATTTTGGTCACATTTCCTGTTTTTCTTTTATCAGATGAATACAGCAGTTCAGCTAATTTTGGTGGCAGCTTCTTTAGCAGCTCCTGTTTTCAATTATGTGGACAGCATATATCTGCAGACATTATGGTAACTTACCTCTTCACTTTTTTTCAGATAATTTAATGTACTCCTAAAGAAACTGGTAATTGAGATTAATCTAATTGTGTGGAACAAAAAACCTGTGCCCAGATGATGTAATAGACCCATCTGCCTGAATTTTTACATGTTTATTCTTAACTGATGCAAGCGCTATATATTCATTGGTACTTAATTTACTATAGAAGCAAAAAGTAGTCAAATGAAACTAGTTAAGATCCAGGAATAATAGCTAAGAAACAAGTCTTCAGAATAGACACAGTGTACACAGGAAAAGTGTAAATTCAGATTAATAAAAAAGAAGGGCATGGGAAAAAAGGCTGCATGGATTCTTTATTTGTTCATGCTGTAAGTGTCCTTGAAAAAGCAACCTTGATATCAGGGTCTAAAAATAGACGGGAAGTGTTTTCTTATATTTGCTTTATACGGTACCTGCTATCTTGAAATCTAGTTTTCCTAAGCCTCTTTGAAAAGCACCTGAAGAAATCGGTGATTCCTGCTAGATTATAGGAAGGAAGGGGAGGGATTGAATGAAAACGGGCATACAGGAGCATACCACCTTAAATAATGGCTGTTCCTTTCACTGCTGTCATTGGAGATCTGAACTGTATCTGAATCTGAAATGTAGCGGGTGTTATAAGTGCAGTTATTTCTCCTGAGCAGTTAGGTAAGAGTTCAGAACAGAGGCTGAACAGCAGATAGCAGAGTTACTAAGTAGCTTAGTTTAAAGCAGTGGAAAAATGACTGTTATTTGTCTTTTAGGAAAAAAAACCAACCAACCAAAAAAACCGCAAAACCCAAAGCTTTTAAGGAACTAGGAACGTTGATCTTAACAGTCAATATGGTTTTTCATCCTGTTGGAAAGACAAATCTAGAATTACATCTGTTAGAGATGCTTACCTTGCTGCTTATCTGGGACTCTGAGAGAGTTACCCTGTTGTGAGAAATGCTGGGTGTAACTTACCAGGGTCCTCTCTAAACACTCTCAAAAATGACCTGGATGAGTCTGGCAGTGTGTCCAGGGAGGGGCAGAGCTGTAGCGGTGACTCACATCTGAATGGTGTCAGCCTTTGACGCAGAGGAACACTGCTCATTTAGAAATATATATATGGTGGTTACCCAGCTTCTGGGAAGGGAACAAAAGGGGCCGAAGCTGAAACTTGGGATTTAGCTTTGGAACTTGGTAAAATGATAAGTTCAAGTCTTGTATGATTTGAGTCCTCCCCAGTCATACTACCAAGGGATACTTTCTCCCATCAGTCAGTTCTCAAGCTGGTAAAAATGATATAGGGTACAAATACTGAAACAGATCTTTTGTCTTCCCTTCTCTAAACCAAGTGCTAATATGGTAAAAATTTGGCCTAGTATGCAATTACGCTGAAACATGCTACTTAGCGCTGGATGGCAGTTCCTTTGTTTATTTAATCCTCCACTTGGTGCTGAATTTCAGCATATAAACTGTAAACTGCATTTCTGTAGGACATAGTCCTTGACTGTGTCATGAAAAATAGGGAAGACTCTTACAAATAACACTTTTTATTATTGTACTTAGACTCAAATGACTTACAGGAACTATTTTCCCTAAAGGTGCATCACAGCTTTCACAACGGTGACATCTGCGTACAGCTATTACCACTACGGCCGAAAAACGGTTCAGGTGATAAATAACAAATGAAGTATTCCTGGAAGGACCGGGTCTTGGCAGTGTGGTGTGCTTTTACTGCCAAAGATGGTTGTATTGCAACTGAGTTTTGGATCAAGAAATCTTGTTTTTCTGCTTAAACCACGGCATCGCAATGAAGTGAAGTTTGAACATGTACTGTGTATATATAGAGAGAGAGACTTTTCAGTGTATTTTTAATTTGTTTAAAAATAAGGTTGTTTACAAAAACAAATAAATAATATTCTTAAAGACACAGGTTACTGGTTGCTGCCACGTGCATTCTGAATAATTTTATACTTTTTTTGAAGTCAAAATATGCACTCTTCACAGGCTTTTTTTGTCATCTTCGTGCAAGGCAGTGAGTAGGCTGAGATCTGAGAAGAAAAAGCAATTATAAGAACAAGTTTGTCTTTGTACTTCAACCTAAGTCAGTAGACGAGCATTGCTCATTAGGACTTAATCAGCTTGCAGCGGAAGAAAGCATGTCATCGAGGAACAGTACCTTCAGAAATTTAAACTTGAGTGATGGAATTTTTACTTCATAATCTGTGGTGATACAGATAAGCCATGACGAGTTACTACCCTGCTCCTTTTTCTTTTTAAATGGGAGCAGTGGTGAACTGTATTCCTTAGAGAAGAGTTTTGAGTCTTTGAAAGGTCAGCTGTGCAGTGAGGAGTCTGTACCCAAATGGAGTTACATTTCTTATACTGTATATTCATTTCTAGTGATTGAAGGGAACTCTTGTATGTCCAGGTTCTTTAAAGCTTCTAAAGATGCCATGTAATCTAAATACCGTGGGAGAAAAAGGATATTTTAAATGTCCAAATGGATGGAGAGAGTGGAAGAAGCCTTCAGATGCATGTACTGTCAATTCTACCTGTACCTCTAGCTTCAAGAGGTGTGCGCTGTGATCCCCCTCAGGCAAGGACAGCTTGCACATGTTCTTTGCCTGTTCTCCACTTACAAAAAGATGCAGAATAAAGAACTAGGCAGAACAGATCATGTTGATCATAAACTTAGGTTTTATATTTTATCGAGCAACATGGTATTTCTTGTATGTCATAAAAAAAGAGTGCAACTATGAAGGGTTTAAATAATTGAAATTGAGTGGTAAATGATACTGTTGTGTTATTAGCAGAAGATTTTTTGTGGACATCTCTTGTGAGAGCACATGGTCTCTTTTGTGACTGCGCATGCTTGTATATACGAAGCATTTTAATATTTTTTTTGTATTTAAACTTGTGTAGAATGGTGGACAGAGAAAACGCTTGATTTTTATTAGTACCTTTTTCTTAACTCTTCCTGTGTTTTGTGGTCTGCCCTGCATCTTGCAGCGAAGGGATGGAGAGCAAAGCCTGGGGAAGTTTCCTTGAAATATTGGAGTGTTTAGTGAAATGGAGTACTTTTTCTTGAAGAAGCAGTTTAGAAAGCAGAAATTTATTGTACCCGGTGAGGTCATTGCTGTTTGGGTTTGGTTGGTGGGGAGGTTTGTGTGTGTTTGGGTTCCCCCCTCCCTTTTGTTTTTTTTTTAATCGCAGATACCTTTGAAACATTGCAGGGGTTCGAGGAGTGCTGCTCAGCGGGGATGCCTGTCGTTACGCCTGGCCGTGCCCCCGGTGGGGGAGAAGTTAAATGCACACTCGTGGTGGGGGGTACCCCCTCGGATATCTGTGTAACATAAAATTCGCCTGGATGGTAGAGCGACGGCTTCTTCCGCTTATGTGTTGGGTGGGTGATAGTAGCGATTAGCTTGCCAAGAGCGCGGTCCGCCTCACCCCCGTGGGAAAACTGGGTTGTACACGCGTGGGCGCAGACGGTGGGGGCGGGCGCGGGCGCGGCGCGGGCTGTGTCCGCGCGGCCGCCGTACCCGTAGCCGCGAGCGGGGCGGGGCTGCCGGCGGCCCCGCCCTCTCCGCGATGGCGGCGCCCGAGCAGCCGCCGCCGCTGCCCGAGGGCTCCAAGCCGCTGAGCGCGCTCCTCAGCGGCATCGCCCAGGTCGCCTACTACGGCAACGCGGACATCACGGAGGAGCTGCTGCGCGGGCAGCTCTACCCCGAGGCGGCGCCGGAGGAGTTCCGCGCCCTGCGCGCCAAAATGGGCGGCCTCCTCCAGGTAACGGCTGCGGAGGGGGAAGGGGCCCCGGTCTGGCGGGGGGAGGGGGGCCTGCCCTGGGGGAAGCCATTTCATCGGCTTCCCCGCCTCTGGGTGTCTGCCCGCCCCCTCCGCGCTAGGATGAGCCGGGG